GGGAACGAGCCGGGAACGAGCCGGGAACGAGCCAGGAGCGAGCTGGGAACGAGCCGGGAACGAGCCGGGAACGAGCCGGGAACGAGCCGGGAACGAGCCGGGAACGCGCCGGGAACGAGCCGGGAACGAGCCGGGGCTTCAGGAACCTCATCCCAGGCTCTTGGAATCCCTGGATGGAGCCACGGATGGATTCGATGGGAAGGCGAGGCCGGGATACGGCAGCTCCTGTCCATCCCTGCAATCCCGGCTCTGCTGAATCCAGGGGGATCCCGGTGCCAGCGGCCCCTCCCGGGATGGCTCCGCACCCCAATCGCAGCGGGAAAAGGTTCCCGGAGTGCTCCCACATCCCGTCCGTGGGGTACAGGATGGTCCCGCATGGCAAATCCTCCTCCCGGAGCAGCGCCCAGGCTGGAATACCCCCAAAAACGCCGCTGGGGGAGGAAAAAACTCCAAACTCCAAAAGCTCCTGGTGGTTTTTGTTTGAGGCTGCTCCGCCTGTGTCGGGAAAACCTGGAAAAGCTGGTGCTGGGAATACCCGAGATTCCTGGGAGAGCTCAGATCCCAAAATAACCCCTGGGACAAACGAGGTGCGGTGACATCGCGGCTCCCCCTTGGGCAACCCCGAAACTCCACACTCAATCCCAAGGCTCCCGGATTTTTGGATTTGAGGAGCGGGCGGGGGCTGGGAGAAGCGTCCCGGGATAAACCGGACCCGCGGGGCTCGGGCTCTGCTGCTTTTCTCGGGGAATTCAGGAAAAATCTGGGGTGGCGAGGGGGACGCCGTGTGTCCGTCACCTGTGCCGTGCTCCCAAACCTTTCCCCGGGCTTTCAGAGCGGGATTTTGGAGCTTTGGGATCCCGGTGGATCCACGGTGGAGCTGGGAATGGGAACAGCTCTGGGCGCTGGGCTGCTCTGAGTTCCTACCCCAAAATTCCCACTCCCGACTCCCGGCTCCTGACTCCTCCCTTCCCGCAGGCCGCCGGCGCCAGAGGGAATTCTGTGCCAAAATAAAAGGGATGGAGGCAGGGAAAGGTACCACCTTCGGCTGCCAAACCTCCCCACCGTGAGGATCAGCAACCCCAGCTCTGCGGCACCGGGCTCCCGAACATTTCCATCCCCAAATATTTCCAGGAGGGAAGAGGAGCACCGGGAATTGCGGTGAGTTTTGGGTGGGCTCTGCCTTTGGGATGTTGTTCTCTCCTGCCTTTTAAAATCCCGAATTCCCATTCCCTGCCCGGCCCTTTCTCCTCACAGCAGCGACCCTCAGCTCGCTTTTCCCCAAAATCTGGAGACGGTTCCCATCCCTCCTCTGGGTTTTCCAGCGGGAATTTGCCGCTGGAAGGCGCTGGCCTGGATCAGGAGCAGCAAAAGCAGGGCTGGAGAGAGCAGGAGGTGGGAAAAGGCGAGGGGAGACCCTGGCCCGACCATTCCCAGTGAGAACCACGGCGCTCTCCCTCCTTTTTTTCCACTCTTTATTCCGACCATCCGCTTTGGTTACAGGTCTGAAAGGGTTGGGGGGTGGTTTTTTTTTTTTGGTAGCTGTCGTGGTGGGGTTTGTTTTTTTTTTGCTTTTTTTTTTTATTATTATTATTTGAATTTTCCTCTCCTGCAGTCCGCCCCCGCCTGCTGTAATATTATAAAATCCTACAAGACAGTAACGAGCAGTCGATATAATAATAAATATCTGTTAGTCCACAGAGTTAAAGTGCTTTGAGAAGGGCTGTGAGGAGCTCTGTCCTGGGCTGGGGAGCATCTCAGGGATGTAGTGCAGTAGGAAGCTCTGTCCGTGGGGTGTGGATGAGGCCCCGAGGCCGCTCCTGAGCGAGCAGGAGCCAGGACAGGCATTGGAAGCACGGCCTGGGTGTCCCCAGGGTGTCCCCGCCCGAGGCCGGGCCGTTCCGGGCTGGGCAAGGTTTGGACAAGGAGAGGGACCCCCCCCCCTTTTTCAGGGGGAAAATCCCGGTTTTCACAGTTTAGTCTCGCTCCGAGACCTCCGAAAGCGCGGGGGAAGCGCAGCCCGGGCCCGGCCCGTGCCCGGCTCGGGGGACAGGGGCAGAGCCGGGGACAGGCGCAGCCACCCCCGGTGCCCTGAGATCCGCGGCCGCTTTCCCTGAGGACTCCCGGGCTGGGGTGGGAGTGGGCACGGCCCCTCAGCCGCCTGCAGAGGGCTTGTGCGTCTCCAGCGTCTGCCCAGCGCCTCCCGCCCCGCTCCGGGCTCTGCGCTCCCGCTTTCCCGTCCCCACACCCCAAATCCAGTCACCTTCCAAGGCTTTTCCATGCAAATTCCCAACGCGGCGCCGATTCCCGACATCCCTCCCACACCAAAGCCGGCTGCAAACAGAAAACAAAAACAACGAACCGAGCCCCCCCTGGAGCCTCCGAGCCCTCCGGAGCCGGAGGGGACTCGCGAGTGACGCCGGGGATGTCGCAGCTGCTGCCAACCCCGACATCATCCGCCAAAACCGCGGGGATCCCGCGGTCCGGAGGCCGAGGGCCGGCTCCTCCTCCTCCTCCTCATCTTCATCACATGCAAGGAGTGGCCGCGCCCTGGGGAGCAGCGCATGCATGGCCGGCCAGCGGAGCGGCCACCGCGTGTCGCGCCCTCCTCCCGAGGCTCCGCCAGCGAGGCCCGCGGCGAGGAAGGCGAAGGGCTCCGGGGGAGCCGCGGGAACGGCGGCAGCGGGCAGGGCCTCAGTGGAAGAGCTCGGCCAGGAGCACAGCGAGCAGCAGCTGCAGCCACGAGGCCAGAGTGGCCGGAGCGCGGCCGCGCTGGGACAGGAAGCGCAGGCGGTCCAGCAGGCGCTCCTTGACCAGAGCCTGGCGGAAGCCGTCCTCCTCGGACACGCAGACGTAGTGGCCGTAGTGCTCGCGGCGGACGCTGGGGATGAAGTGGAAGCAGTCGTGCTGCGGGTGGGACGTGTTGCAGCTCTTGATGAGCACGTCCTCGTGGTACCAGTTGTAGGTGGCGTAGTGGGACTCGATGGAGCAGTTGAGGTAATAGCGGGAGTAGGGCATCACCGAGATGTTGCGGAAGTCACCTGAGGGGACACGGAGGGGGGTGAGGCTGCGTCAGTTTGACACAATCCGGCTTCGAGTGGCGCCGAGGGAGAGGGAAACTCCTCAAAACTTCAGCCCCTAAAGGGTTGGCACGTGGTGACCTCCCAGCTGGAGAGTCAGGCACGCCTTGGTGCTGACACGTTCAAGGAAAGGCGCGCGGTTCCTCTTCCCTCCTCTCTTTGGAGGGCCCATCCCACCCCGTGATGGGGCTCCTTCCCCACACGGCTCTCCCTTCCCCGCACCGCGGAGCTCTACAAACGCTTCCCAGCTGGAAGATCTGGAGAGCAAAGGAGCCCACAGGTTCTGGGAGGGTCTGGCAGCACGGTGAGTCAGGAGGATTAGAGGATGAGAACCGCGCTGGAGAAGTTCCCAGAGAATTCTCTCCCGTGGGAAGGACCCCAGGTGGAAAAGAGACTCTTCTCCCAAAGCAAAGGTTCTTTTCAAGTGATAACCTGACTAAAATCCCCAGGTTTTGCCTCCCTGTGCGGTCGGTGGGAAGGAAAGGTGTGGGGTGGGGAAGGGAAAAGAGCTCTAAAAGTTTATTTTATTCTCATTATCCTCTTTTAATCCTGCTCATAAATTTTCCTTTATACCTTTCAAAGTTTTGAGCCTGTTTTGCCCTTCGAGTGTTTCCTCCTGACCCTCGCCTCACCCCATGAGCCTTTTAATTTCATTTTCTTTGCCCTTCCTCTGCTCAGCTGTGGCAGAGCAGAGTGAGAGATCAGGATTTCCGTGGGAATACCCACGTGGAAAACCCACGGCAGACGTCCAGGAACCGCAGATGGGGTCGGTGGGATGGATGTTACACGACGTTACAGATCTGCCTGACAACAGCAGCCCCACAGCCGCTGAAGCCCCGGGACTTTTCTCCCAGTTTAATCCTTCCCACCCAGCTCAGGAAAATGATTTCTGCTAATTCCAGCCTTGGTGGAATTCCAGTTCCACCTCCCACCATCCAAACCCTTCCAAAAACCCAACGATTCCTTCCCCAACTGCAGCATCTCCGCGTACCTTCCTTGACATCGCCCCTCTGGCAGCTTCCTCGCCACGAGTCCAAGTTCAGGTTCTGGAGCACCTCCCTGGGGGTGGGAATGGGAATAAGCACCGAGGAAACTTTGGGAAGCGGCGTTTTCAGGGATGGGAATCCCTCATATCGGTGGGATGAGCGGGATGAGTGGGAATCTCCCCCCCCCCTTCCGAAGGCTGGAGATGACCAACGGGAGACCCAGCAGCAAGGAGAGGGTTTGGTGCCCAAAACCCTTCAAGGGAGGGATGGATCCACACAGAACACCCCAAAATTTGGGGAGAGGGGTCGGGTGCCCAAAACCCTTCAACGGTTTTGCTCCACACAGAGCACCCCAAACTTTCAGGGAGAGGGATTGGGTACCCAAACCCCTTCAAGGGAGGGATGGACCCACACAGAACACCCCAAACTTTCAGGGAGAGGGATTGGGTACCCAAACCCCTTCAAGGGAGGGATGGACCCACCCCAAACTTTCAGGGACAGTGCAGCCATCCCCCAAGCCACGCCCAGCCCAGGAGGGGAACGCCGCGGGCGCAGGCGTCTGCCTGGCGGGATCAGAGCCGCGATTGCTCCCCCACGCACCGGCTGTGGGCCAGCGAGAGGCAGGAGCCGTTGGCCCAGCCGCAGTAGGGGTCCCTGGCCAGCACACAGCTGTGGCAGTTGTTGCGGTAGGCCCCGCACATGTCCATGGGCAGCTCCAGGACGCGGCTGCCGGAGCCCACGTAGAGCACGGCCTGCGGGAGGAGAGCGCAGGCAACCGTCACTCCGCGTCCCACGGAAGGTCGGGAAGGCCCTGGAGCTGCTGGAAGGAGGCCAAGGAGATGCTCCAACCCTCCAGAGCCCGTCTGGGAGAGCTGGGAATGTTCACCTGGAGAAAGGAAGGCTCCAGGGAGATCTCGGGGCACCTAAAGGGGCTCCAGGAGAGCTGGAGAGGGAATTTGGAGGGGCAGGACACAGGGAATGGCTTCCCAGTGCCAGAGGGCAGGGATGAATGGGGAATTGGGTAAGAATTGTTCCCTGTGGGGATGGGGAGGGGCTGGGATGGAATTTCCAGAGCAGCTGGGGCTATCCCTGGATCCCTGGCAGTGCCCAGGGCCAGGCTGGACACTGGGTCTGGGAGCACCTGGGATGCTGGAAGGTGTCCCTGCCATAGGGTGGGGCTGGATGATCATTAAAGTTCCCTTCCAACCCAAATAATTCCACGATTTCGCTCCTGGACCCCAGGGGCTGGCACTGAGCCGCCCATCCCTGCCTGACCAACCCCCGGAGCAGGGACCCACCCTGGCGTGGTCCAGGATCATGGACTGGATGGGATCCTTGTTGGGGAACACCTGGATCTCCATGATGTTCTGCACGCCGTCTGGCAGCTCCACCACCTTGTGGATGGACCCCTTGTCTGGGAAGAGAGAGGGGACAGCCCTGGTGAGGCACCCTGAGAGGAGCCTGCCGGGATCTGACGCCCGCAGAGGGCGGGAGCAGCATCCCGAGGGAACGGGGCGTGGGAATCCTCGCAGTTCCCCCTTCCCAAAGGGATCCTCTCTCTCCCCTTGGCCAGGAGGAGGCGAAGTCCAGCTTGTGCAGGGCTTGGGACCCCCCCAGGTGATTCGGTGTCCATCCCAAGGCCCTTCCCATTGGATCAGGCTTCCCAGGGGGACCCTGCAGGGCATTGGCTGCATTTAAACCCAGGATTATGGAAAATCTCAATTGCTCTGTCTCTCTGCTCCTCCATTTCTCTATTTCTGTTTCTGTTTCTCCGATTCTCTGTTTCTCTCTAACCCCATTTCTCCATTTCTCTATTTCTCTGTTTCTCCATGTTTCTCTATTTCTCTGTTTGACTATTTCTCTGTTTAACTATTTCTCTGTTTCTCCATTTCTCTATTTCTGTTTCTCCATTTTTCTCTATTTCTCCGTTTCTCTCTAACTCCATTTCTCCATTTTTTCCCATTTCTCTCTAACCAGCAAATGCAGAATCCAGCCCTGGCAGACCCCAATCCACCCAGAGCCCATCTCACCTCCTCCCTCGCAGCTTGCCCGTTTAAACCCCCCACACCTCCCTCCACCGGCACTGGGATGAGCAATTTGGAAAAAACCATGGAATTGTTCCTTTGGGAAGGATTCCTGCTCCCACCCTGGGATGGATGAAGAATGGATGATGGATGGATGATGGATGATGGATGGATGACGGATGATGGATGGATGGATGGATGGATGGATGGATGATGGATGGATGAT